CCTTATCAGCAGGGGAATGACTGCGTTGGGGGTTCCCTCGGGGAGTTCTTCCAGGTAGAAGGTGATGGGCTCCGACCTACCTTTTACCCTCTCAAATGTCACTGTTTGCGGAGGTGCTGCGTCGACTAGTTCATCCAGCTTCCTTTTATCCGAATTGATAGTCAGGTCGTTGAATCCTCCGCCATTGATGACCATGGCGGAGGGGAAATATTCCCACCTGCTGTGTGTTATGAGCGGCTCCTTCAGGTGTTCGGGGACGTTAAAGTCCTCGGGTCTGGTGACGGAGAAGGCGGTCTGGACGGGGACCGACTCGTCAGATGGTCGGGCGTCTTCCTCCGGTTCTCTTGCTTCCCGAGCGTCACGACGAGGAGCGTCGTTTCGCCGGTATTGTGCGAGCCTCCCTCCCTTGATGATGGTTTCAATGGCGTCCTTGAGGTGGACGCAATCTTCTGTCAGATGACCATGGCTCCTGTGGTACTGACAATATTTGCTCTTGTCTGCTCCGGGCTTGGCGGGAGCAGGTCGGGGACGTTTGACGCCGCCGTCTTTGAAGTCCGTGTTGGCACACTCCGCCAAAATGCGCTCGCGGGAAGCTGTGAGCGGAGTGTATTCGGTAAAGCGCCCTGAGAGTCCTCTTTGCTCTCGGACTTCTCGGGGTTTGTCTTCTTTTCTTTTCTCCCCGGTTCGTCGAGGAGGAGCAGCTTCCTGGCGCGGGTTGCTGCTGGATCCGCGAGTCCTGGGGTCTCGGGCTCTGTTGGCCGCCTCCCTCTCCTCGTAATCCATGTACGCCCGGGCCTTCTCGATGAGGGCGTCGAATGTTCTAGGTGGCTCAATGCCCACGGCCTTTCTGAATTTCGTGCCGGGGAGGAGCCCCCTCTCCAGTAAATATCTTTTCATGTGGTCCGCACAGGGGACCTGTATAGCTTCACAGTTGAAGCGATTGATGAACTCTCTCAAGGTTTCATCTTGTCTCTAGATGATGGCCTCGAGAGTCGCCTCGGTCTTTGGGTGTCACCGAGATGCTGTGAACAAACTGATGAATTGGTTCTTCAGGTTTCGCCACGAGGTGATTGATCCTGGGGCGAGGCCTTTATACCAGTCCATTGCTGCCTTTCTGAGGGTCGTGGAGAACATCCGGCATTTGATGGGTCCCCCAACGTTGTGGTAGTGCAGCATGGCCTCGAATCCGTCTATGTGGTCGACCGGGTCCGCGACTCCGTCGTATTCCTTCAGATGTGGAGGCTTCTCCATGCCCGGGGGAATGGGCGCCTCCATGATGGCCTGCGACAGGGGACCGCGGGGGTCGTCCTCGTCACTTCGCTCCGAGGACAGGGATGGGGACCTGTAATACTGTCGGGCACGACGGTCCTGGTCATGTTGGGCATCTCTCGAGCGCGGTGCTCGTTGGTTGATTATTCCATGCCCGTCTTCGGAGTGTCTTCTTTCTTTTCTTGTGGGGGCGTGGCCGCGTCCCCCAGCTTCGACGATGGGTTGCCTCTCCAAAGGGGGCCGTCTCCCCGAGGATCGGGGTGACGGGCTTCGAGAGGTATCTCCGTAGTGTCTCCGCGGGGGAGACGGGAAATGTACCTCCGTTACTCGAGGAGGTGGAGTCTGGGGCCTCTGGTGCCTCCTCGGGGGTCTTCGATCGTCTTTAAGCGCCCTCAATCTTTCCCCTTGGGCGAAGATGAGGTAATTCGTCTGGCTGATCGCCGCGAACAGCGCGCGGGTTATGGCATCTGCCCCGGCGGGGATAGGGACTTCCTGAAACTGAGCAATCCGATGGTTTGTGGGAGCTGCATTGTCTTCTTCGAGCGGCGGAGGGACCGAGGAGGACGATGCAGTAACTCCGTCGCGGTGGATTGAGGGGCCGGGGCCGGTCGACACAGGGATGGTGTTATGACCGGGGTTGTCGGCGTTATCAGGGTGTCCATTTTTATTCGCGAGGCCGTTGTTGGTGTCGACGACGCGAATGTTTTGTTCATCACGAACTTGGTCATCCATGACGGTGATAGTTGAGTTGAGCTTTGGTCTTCGAGTTTTTGCAAGACGGAGAAGTTAGTTTTCCACAGACGTCGCCACTGATCTTACCTGATCAGACTTGGACCGTTACGACTGGCTCCGAGCTGAAGTTTGAACGAGATGGGGGGGGTAGTACCTGCAAGGCACTCTGATGCTAAAGTGAGTGGTAGTACGAGCAGGCAAAAAGTGTGTATATGGGTAAGAGAATGAATACCTGACCCTCTTGGAACAGAGGGTATTTATAGCCTCCAGCGCTGGGCCAAGGTCCCTTCATTGGGCCGACCAGGATTGGACCAATAAAGGAACTGCCAGGTTCTACGTGTGTAGTGGGGACCCGCACGTGGTCTCCTTCCTGGATGCTCTGCGAGAAGTACGGACGGACGAGGACGCGGTCTTTTCGGAGTTCAGGCGATGGTGTAACGGTCATAGTCTGCCCTACGAGGAGGGTGCTCGAGCTGGACTCGAGCTGGATTGTATGTGGTCGAGAGCGCTGCGTTCGCGGGCAGCGGCAGACACGGTTGTAGCTTCTGGTCGACGCGCCCCTGTAGAGCCGCTTGGATCGGGCCTTCATTCTTGCTTTTGGACCAACCCGGGCCCAGTCCAGAACAATTATTAATAAGATTATTTTAATAAATAAGATTCATTTTATCATTGAATTCAATATAATTTATTATCATTTTAAAAAATGTGAAAATCTAAAAAAAAATATATATATATTTATGATGAGACGGAGGGAATAGAATGTTTTATTATATAATTCTATATTTAAATTATTGTGGTGTGATGGTCTCCTGAATGTCCGGAATATCATTCCTTAAAGCTAGTTTTCCTGCCTCAAATATTCTTTTTGGAAAGCTCATCTTGTTTGAGTGCATTAGCAGCAGCTACTTGTAATATAATTCCTTCATATTATTGCACAATATCACACATTCTTCCCCTTCCATGAGACATTTGATCAACTCAACAATTTCTACCCTTTCCAAAATGCCATTTTCATGAACTCTTGGCCTAAATCCCACTATTAGGCCCTCACGGTTTGGATACTTTGAGATCAATGATGCATTTCCTCATCGTTGGGATACTCGTTAATTATAGACAGTTATTTATTTTCATTAATAGTTTTTGGTTTTTAATTAATAATTAGTAACAGTTATGGGAAAGTTATGAGACAGTTATGGGTGATGTGAAAAAAAAAAATAAGGAAATCATATGTTAGAGGGACATCCAAAAAATATTTGAGTGGTTAATTGGTTTGGGAGAGACTAGACTCTCTAATTTCTAGAGGTTGGTTTATGTGTCAATTGTTAATTATAAATAGTTTGTACTTTAGTATCGATTCCTATTAACTGATATCAGAGCAGTTCTGATCCGAAGCAAAAAAATCACAACAGAGAAAGATGGACATGCCACAATTTGACGGCAGCAAAGATACTTATTGGTGGTTGATTTATATTGAGAAGCATTTTGATGTTGTGGGAACACCAGAAAGTGAAAAGTTGCCCGATGCAGTGAAAGCCTTGAGAAACTATGCTCTCAAATGGTGGTAGTGGTGGAGTCGACGCCATCTACAAGCGAATTGGCAAATATTTCTGATTGCGCTGCTTTGACATTTTAAGCCAGAGTATAGAGACCTCCTTCCTATATCCTATGAAGAAGAGGAACTTGAATTGAAATCGAAATCATTGGCAACTCACACATTCAATCTTCAACAAGAAGAAACAAACCAAGGAAATTCCCGTCTCATTCAGATAACAAAAGAAAGAAATGAGGAAAAAGGTAGAAATTGCAAAAGTATAAGATGGCCAAAATTCTCTTGTCAATGTCATCGTCGAAAAGCAAGTGACAAAAGAAGACTTTTGTAAATTTCTTGGTATCAACAGACACTTTGATGAGCATGACAAGAGTATGGTGTCTGAATCGAGGACAAGACTGTCTAGAACAATTGTCAGAGAGAGAAGGGCTTCACTCAAGTTGGACATCGTAGCGCCTCCAGGTCTAGACGAGTCCTGGGTGAAGGGTGCATTATCCTCTAGTTTGATCAAACCAGCGTTGTTAATGTCTACTGCTGTCATACTATGTTTTTTGGTCAGACAGACCACTCAAAACAGAGTGTATAATCCAGGCATAATTTATCATGCTTTACGTCTTACTCTATCACTCTACTTCAAGTTATGGGATCCTGGTGGACACTTTGTTATCCTTCGTCTTCACCTTGAGGACAAGGTGATAGATTAGGGAAGAGTATGGTTAGTTATAGGCAGTTATTTATTTTCATTAATAGTTTCTGGTTTTTAATTAAAAATAATTAATAGCAGTTATGGGGTAGTTATGAGATAGTTATGAGTGATGTGAAAATAAAATAAGAAAATCACATGTTAGAGGGACATCTAGGAAGTATTTGAGTGGTTATTTGGTTTGAGAGAGACCAAGCTCTCTAATTCCTAGGAATTGATTTATTTGTCAATTGTTGATTATGAATAATTTGTACTTTGGTATCGATTCCTATCAGATACTTTAGGAAATATAATTTCATATTTTCTCATGGTTATGGTTAGGATACTTTGAGGGTTTGGGTAGCAAGTGCTACACTTTAGCCTCAGTAAATCCGATGAAAACGTAAAATTAGAATGTTCATCCAACATTTTGTAGTTTGCTACTAGGTAAGAGGGTGCTATAAGCACAAATTTATGACTATTTCAAACAACAAATTACTAATTGTTCATCTTAATAAAGAGCTCCTTAGGCATCAATAATAATGAGCTTAAAATTACAAATCATAATCATTATTGCATTCCAAAGAAGAAACAAAAAGACTAGAGTGGTTTTAAAGCAAATAGAGGCTCAAAGACAGTGTAGTAGCTGCTCCAGGGTAGTATATATAGGACAACAAGTTGAATTCCTTAGCAAAGTCTAGTGCTTCAACTGCAAGAGAATCAACTATCAAAGCCACAATGTGTATCCTTAAAAGCATCTCCATTGATTCACTCATGAGCAACAACAAGCACTTGTTTACCAACATTTCGACCACTAAAAAGGCCAACCAAAGCTGCAGGACCATTCTCAAGACCCTCAGCAATATCTTCCACATAAACAATTTTCTCTTCTCTTATAAGAGGCAAAACAAACTCTAAAAATTTTGTATAAAGGTGATAGTATTCAAATACACCGAAGCCTTCAATTCGAATCCTCTTATATATGATATGTGTCAAATTCGTTACACCTTCAGGTTGATCAAGATTATACTGTGAAATCATTCCACAGACGGGTATGCGACCATGGACTCTCATATTCAGGAGCACAGCATCAAGTGTCTTTCCCCCAACATTCTCAAAGTAAATGTCAATGCCTTCAGGAAAGTATCTGTAAATGTTAATATCCGTTAGTTATTAGTGTCTCGTGTTACTAAAACTATGAAGTATTAACACAACTCTGATATTGAGTGTAATTGCAACTGACAGTGATGTGTGTTTTGGATCGGACACACCTTTAATATAGTGTCAATGCTACATAAGTAACTAATCTTTTATGTCAAAAAACAAAGTGAATTACAAATCAAGCATAAAACTTTTGAAAACATACCTTTTCAAAGCTGCATCGAGGTCTGGTTCTTCTTTGTAGTTAAAGGCTTCATCATACCCAAATTTATTCTTCAACAGATCCACCTTTTCTTTAGTTCCAGCACTTCCAACTACATAGCAACCATGCAACTTAGCGAATTGGCCAACAAGCTGACCAACAGCACCAGAGGCAGCAGAAACAAAAACATTCTCTCCTTTCTTGGGAGAGCCTACTTCAAAGAAACCAGCATAAGCAGTCATTCCCGGCATACCTGTACTCAAACAAAAACAAAACATACATCAAAAGACACAACACAATCACAAAATAACATAATATAAACTGAAATTGTTGAATACATACCGAGAATTCCGGTATAGTAAGAAAGTGGAACATCAAAATGCTCAATTTTGAAAAGTATTTGAGCTGCAGGAATCAAACTATACTCTTCCCATTTAGTCATACCCCAAACTAAATCATCTTTCTTATAATCTGGATCTCCAGATTCTACAATTTTAGACACTCCAAGTCCTCTCAGTGGCTGCAATTACCCATTACTTCAGATTCTTTTATACAAAATAATGATGAATATATAATAATAATAATAATAATAATAATAATAATAATTATTATTATTATTATTATTATTATTATTATTATTGATGAAAGAGATAGTATTATGACGTACCAAACCAGGTGTGAGAGCACCGAGTCCTGCAGTAGAATCCTTGGTCATGAGAATCCGCATGTAAGGATCACAAGACAAGTACAGATTTTTGAGCAGAACAAGATCGTTGGAACCTTCTGGAATCTTAAGAGTTATGGAGTTGTCAACTACGTTCATGTCTGATTCTTTAGGAAGACCAGTAACATAGTCTGTGAGAATCACTTGCTTGTTCTTCACTTGTGCCATGTTTGGAATTGTGTAACAAATGTGTTCACTGTTGGTTGTGTTGTTGTGTAGTGTGGTGTGATGTTTGTGTTGTTCTTTCTCGCTGTGTAGCGTACGTAAGAGTTATGTACAAGGTAAAGCATGTACCTTCGATAATACTGGCCACACATTGTTATGTAATATTTACCTAACCAATTTTTATTGGTAATAAAAAAAGTCCTATAATTTTCAACGTGGAGAGAGATATGCCAAGTAAAAAAGAAGTGCGGCCCCCATTATATTAGTCTTTTTAGGATGACATTTAGCCTGTTTTTTTTTCTAGAATTTTTTTTTACATCTTACAAAGTAAACAAAAAATTTATATATTTTTTCAAAATCGAAAATATATTTTCGGTGTTTATTTTTTTTTTGTTAAATCTTGATTAGAAATCAAAAATACATATGTAAAGTAAATCATAAATATACTTTGGGTTTCAGTGCAGAAAGTACCAGCAATACTTATATTGACAGTGGGTATTTTTGCGCGTTATTTCGCATTGAATACAAAGATGTATACAATAAAATATACTACAAAGACATATAGAACAAAGACATATATAAATATATAGCAGTAAACAGTACAAAAGGTGTTTGTAGTCAATATAGGTGGTAATCTAAAATATTATTCAAATATAATAAAAAATGATAACCAAAATACATATACAATAGCAAAGACTACTGGATATGGCAGACTCTGAGTCGGCATGTCACCCTCCCGGCATTCCTCTACTTCCTCCTGTAAAGCAGAGCCTCCTGGGCCTCCGTCGTGATGGCATCCAGAACACCTCTAACATCGGATACATCAAGAAATAATCCTATATCAATACCCGCCTGCACAATCTCCATGATACGACGACACTTAGGCAACACATTAGTGGCATGATCGGTCCTAGCCTGCTCCTCCTCTAGAATCTCCCGATGATCTAACCTCTGTGGGTTTCCTAGAGCATCATGTAACAGGTATGGATGGGACACTCTGAAGAACCATATGATATAATTGTCCATGTAGCTTCAGTCATGTGGAGCAAAGGTACTCTGGGTCTCATCTGGATTAAGATGATTCTCATAATCATCAAATAAGGCATCCATATCCCTATGTTTCACCATCGGAGGAGCAAATCAGTAGGATCCCAGAGAATGTATTGGGTATACCCGGACTGACGCATGACATGCTCAGGTATATAAGCAGTCGTCTTGTGTGATACGCAAGACAACCATCCCGTAAATAGTGCAACATCGCTAAATGGTATCGTGACACGATGGTCGACGTATGAATGGAAGTGTATATCCTCAAACACCAGCCGATTAATATACACCCAAAATGACTGTGTTGCCTGGTTCCCTCTGAGCGGGTCGTAAGCAGTGGCATGCAGCTTATCTTCAGTATAATGTATAGCAAGTGACCAACATGAGATGCAGTGGAAGTGTTGTAGGATCCAACCCTGAAATAACAATAATAATTAATTAGTAACAGAATCACAATAATTAAAAAACGCCACAAAGACCAAAAAATTCACCGTCAGGAGTGTGATGTTGCCGATCATCTGATTTGTCTTCCACTTACATCCTTCAGACAGTTTTGTATACAAGTACACCAAATAAGCAGCCCCCCCAATTCCACTGGTGGATCTGCCCAAAATCATCAAAGTATCTCAAGTACATCACATTTGTGTAAGTGGCACTAGTGTCCACAAAAATTTATGTGCCAACCAAAAACAAAAGGTATGCTCTTATAGAAAACCTCTATTGTATGGTAACCTGCTTAGGATCACCATCAACCTCTCGTGCACGCCTTATCTCATATGTGAACACCGTTTTCAAATAACTATATCTGACGTGGGAACCACGGGTGAAGTCCATCTCAGCCATGGCACTCTCAGGGGTAACTCCCAATTTCTCTACTGACATATCCAACGTCTCCTCTTTGCCAATCCTGTCATGATCTAAAAATGTCCCTCTAATCGGAAGATACAGCAAAGACGCGGTGTCGTTCACTGTGATTGTCATCTCACCATGTGATAGATGGAATAATGACATCTCATGGTGCCACCTCTCAACAAAAGTGTTAATCATACCCCAATTAACAATGTTATAACCACACTTAGTCAAATCTTTCAATTCTGTAAGCAGCAATAGCTCATCAAACTATGGCTCAAGAGGGGCTTTGAGTTTACTGATCTTCCGCTCATGATTAATAACCTTCAGCGAATCACGTTCCTGCATACATGGTTTGACAAAATTCATTCAACAAAAATCCATAATAAAAATGTAATAGAAGGAACAATTCAAAATCCATATCTCTTCGTTCCATATATGTCTAGCAACATGGTCCACGTACAGAGGCAACAGAGATAAATCAGACGATCATCCTCCAAAAACTCGAGGTGCCACAGGTGTCGGCTCAGGGGCCTGAGATGTTTGGGGTGCCGCCTCAGGTGTTGTGTATGACTGAGGGTGGGCATCAGGTGTCGGCAGTGTGACCTCTGGTGCCGGCTGGGAACCGGATGTCTCTCCCGCCTCAAATACCATCAGGGAAGAAGTGCGTCTACGAAAGGACGGAAGGGGGAGGGATAAACTGGAAAATGTCGCCTATTGTGGGAGGACGATGAAGTCGGAGTAGAAACAGGAACATCAGAGGCTGAGGTTGTAGTATGAGCATCCGACACAGCTTGTCCAGAGGCAGAATGAGCTTGGGATGCCTAATTCTTTCCCTCCGCACAGAAGCATGTTATACAAGCATGTTGTGCCTCAACCTAGATGGTCTCTCAGCCATTACTCCTGTAGAAGTACAACACAAACGTTAACATATCAGGACTAATGTTCAAAATGAAGGGAAAAATAGAAACAGACTAAAACTGTAAATGCATTTTCGATTTTCTTCAACGTTAAAATGAAAATCGAAAATACATTTATGGTACGGCCTGAAATTTCAGAGCTTCTTCAATGGAAAAGCAGAGCCACAAATGACCTCCAAAAAATGTTCATTGATCATAAAAATGAGACTTCCAACACTTTTCTAATGACTCTTAATACTGAAAACACACAAAACTCTAAAAATCTTAAAATAACTTACAATTGATGATTCCTCTTGATTGAACGTGGTTGAACAATTGAGTTAACTGGTGTGTTACGATTGATACAATTATGAAGCCCAGAAATCGACCAGATAATATCTTAATTTCTCCAAATTACTGAAGCCTGGGACACGACTGGATAACAATATAAAATACTACGAATCATGGAATCGACTAGATAGTGGTATATCTCAAAATCAAGCTATGAAGCCCGGAAATCGACCGAATAATATCTTAATTTCTACAAAATACTACAAAGTCTAGAATCGACCAGATAGTGGTATATCTCAAATTCAAGCTATGAAGCCCAAAAATCGATCGGATAATATCTTAATTTCTACAAAATACTACGAAGCCTGGAATCGACCAGATAGTGGTATATCTCAAATTCAAGCTATGAAGCCTGGAAATCAACCGGATAATATCTTAATTTCTCCAAATTATTGAAGCCTGGGACACGACCAGATAATGGTATAAGACACCGTGAAGCCTGGAGCACGACCAGATAACGGTATAAGACGCTGTGAAGTCTGGAGCACGACCAGATAGCGGCAAGAGACACTGTGAAACCTGGAGCACGACCAGATAACAGTATGAGGTACTGTAAAGCTTGGAATTCGACCAGATAGCAGTTTACTCGGCCAATTACTATTGAAGCCTGGAAATGACCAGATGTTAGTATGCCTTAAATTCAAGTTGAAACTCGGATGCAATCGGATAACAACTTAATTCCTTCTGAAACCTGGAGCACGACCAGATAACAGTTTTTGAGATTGCAAAGCCTGGAGCACGACCAGATAGCAAGTTTAATCTCATCTCCCCAATAAGTCGTTGTGAAACCTGGAGCACGACCAGATAGCAGTCAGTCTTATTATCCTCAGCAAATCACTGTAAGGCCTGGAGCACAACCAAATAGCATTTCATTTTCATCTCCTCGACTAAGAGATGATTCCCCAGTAGAATAACGGACAACTGAAGTTCCTAAAATTCCATTTCTCCCAAAACAGAGACCAACATTTCTCAGCAGATTCCTCCTTAACGACAGGAACAGAATTCTCATCAAAGGAATATCTTGGGAAATCAACATCCTCTAGATGGCATCTTTAAGCCCATCTCTGGTGACCTTCTGTCATCTCCTCCAAATGGAATATGTAAGCCCATTCCCGATACTACCTACACAGTCCATCACCATCTCAGACGAGTGCAAATTTCTGGGCACTCTAGTGTTCAATCATCTTCCACCTTCAGATTACGAAAGGCAGACAGCCAATCTACATCCTCAGGTTTAAGAAGATTGTGAAGGAGTAAGAAAACACTTAGAAGGGGGGGTTGAATAAGTGACTCTTTTTTGTTTCAAAACAAAGCTCAAACAATAATGGAATAACACAGTTATTTTTATCCTGGTTCGTTTGAACTCAAACTACTCCAGTTCACCCGCCAAGGTGATTTCACCTTTCTCAACAAGGACTTAATCTACTATAATCAAATGATTACAATCACACAACAACTGTTGTGACTAACAATGCACAAGTAAACTTACAAGTGACTAACACCACTAAGACTTAAATCTAGTCCTAGTCTGCTTGAGAAATCTGACCAAACTTGGTCTCTCAAGGAACAAATACAGGAGTTTAATATTTACAGATAATGAAATAGAGTTTGCTTCTAATCAAGCTATATCACAACTATGATTTTTCACTTAGAATATAATACACAAATTGTATGAACAACGAGTTTGTGAGCTTTTGGATTTTTCACGTAGTTTCTTGTTTGAACGTTGTTGTTGGGTTGCAATAAATGTCCTTCTACTTATAGTAGGAACAATAAGACCGTTACTGCCTTCAGAGAAGATGGAGAGCATTAAATGCTTTGCGTGTATCCTTGCAATATTCCATTTTCCAAGAAACT